AAGGAATGTGCCTTCTTGTCTTGAATCCGATCACTCTGGCCCGAGTAGCAGTAGGTTGCGCAGTATGTAGATCGCTATGGAAGCTGCGCGAAGGCGTACTTTGCGCAGTATCCACCTCTATTTCAAAATCGGCTGCCCACTTGCATTTACCGGGGAAGCAGCGGGACTCCCTCGAAGGCTGTGAATTGAATGACTCCATCGCCTGTGGATGGCGTGGTTTGCATTCAAGTTGGATCCTCCCCGTCAAGATGATTCCTCACGTTCAACCTCCATTGTACTCGTGTGCCAATGGGGTGAAGTGTGGACGAGGGGTCGCCACCCGCCACTTAAAGGACACAAGTAGAGTACAATAGCTTCGCCCAAATACCAAGGGGAATAGATAATTTTTGCACAGACAACGCACCAGAATGCGCAAATTTTACCCGGGACATAAGTCACCGTTTTGTTCCGTTAGCTCCTCCGGCGACGGTAGGATTTTCAGTCGTACGTGCTCTTACGAAATTTGGAAATGGAATCAGATGTTCGTAGGATATTCGATTGTTGGGAAAATAATGAAATCATGCATAAGAATTGCAATTGGCATTGGCCCGAGATGGGGTGGAGTCGAACTAGCGTTGTCATTTCCCTGCCGTAATTATTGTCCTCGACACGGGGTTCAACAGATATTGGGGGCGAAGGTATACAAGCGCCAACGCAAAATTAAGGTATTGAGGTGAGGTAGTTACATTATCAATAATAATTATGACGTCGTTGTCGATGTAGCGTCAATCTGTTGGAATATGGACAAATGTGGTTCATTAATTATAGACACACATGGTGGCTTTCGGTTCCCATTCGAAGCTATAATAAACTTCTGGTTCACTTTTAGTCGTTCAAATTTGGCGTCGCCGCTCATCGTGGCGCCTCAGGCTATTAGTACTGTGGTGCTCATCAGCCATGCAGCCACAACCAGCCCCGACACTTGCGTGCCCACGCCGTCTCCAAGTCGAGGATTTACCTTGACAGCGACGGGCGACGAATGACACGACAAAGTGATATATGGGCGACTCGAACGATTTTGAAATGTAGCCACCTGCCAGTGTTCCGATCATCGCCTGCTCAGCCTGGGGCACAACTGCGCCGGCTGGATTGGGCTATTTGAGTGCCCAGCTTGATTTAATGGTGGAAGGTGGTGAAAATACTATACATGAACTGTTAATAGAGCTATGTACAAGCTTTACGCTGTGGGGCCTCGCTTTCCGAATACATATAGCTATAATTGTTGTCTATTGATTACCGTTATATACCTTTCCACGTGTACCATACCAGGGACAAGCAATACATAATCACGCCACATCAATTGAGTATTTCTCCATTCTAATGTTTTTTTTTCGTTTCCATGTAGATGGATGTTAATACAACACTTAATGGGCAACTAACCACGAGCATAACAAGTCGAGCAGCGGCGGCATTGCCCGCCAACGGAAAGAAAAAGGATGGATAAGCGCATATGAATCCTATTGATATGCTAACCATAAAGATAATACCAAAACACGAACACGACACGACGACCATAAAAGGGAATCGACCAAGCAATCTCCGCGTAGTGGGGTGACTCTGCTGGGTGGCCCGCACGACTTCAGGAATGAGGAAAACGAAAAAAAAATGACAATACGTGACTCCTTGGCCCTTCGGCTAGCGAGTGGGCGACGTTTCGACTCTAAGCCACGCGAGCGCCGTGGATATACAATGAATGAAAAAAAAAAAGACGGCAATGAGGTGGAGTTATACACGGTTTCATGGTGTGATGAGGTCGTTTCACGCGTTTGTCATTTACGCCCAGCTCCACTCCACTTGATGGAGACGACCGACCGACGGATCAGAGAGCGAGTTGAATACGCTGGGGCTAAAATCTAGGATGGAAAGAAGAGGTCAAAATAATTAATTAAATGAGGGAACATTGAGAAAGATACGTACCAAGGGAGAATTGGGAACAGCCTGTGCAGCGGTCGGTGACTTCTACGGTAGCCGTTTTCCCTTGATCTGCAAAAAAAAAAAAAAAAAAAATTCAGTATATGGTGCCATAGGGAGACGTTAAACTTACAGTTAACGTTAAGTTTCCTTCCGCAAAGGGGATTCTTGTTAGGGTTTTGGCCATTGTAACCTCTATAACCACATAACAAATGTATTAATAATCTATTGCCAAGTGTAGTGTTGAGCGACACGCACGGGGCATTATCAAACAGGATCTCGCTGATGGCAACAATGGGCTGGTTGTCGTTGTTCGTGATTCCACATGCACCGAGACCAGTGGAATAGAAAGTACCTAATGACGTGTTTTCAGCACATAAAAAATAGGTATATGCGCGGTTCAACGTACCATCTCCGCTGTGGGAGCCAGAGTAGGGGTCGGAGCTACTTCCACCAGAAGGGGATGATGGCGCAGGGGCAGGGGCAGGGGCAGGGGTAGAGGTCTTAGGCTTGGGGGATGGGGAAGGAGAAGCTTTAGATGGATTACCAATACTAACAGACGGAATAACACCCGGGATAGAGACAGGCACTGGGAGCGGTGCCACATTCTGCGGGGGAGCGTCGCTCGGAGTCGAAGCAGGAGGATCTGTGGCACTCGGAGTAGCACGAGTAATTCCAGAGGTTGGGCGACTTTTGCAGCGTTTCGTGATTTGTCGCTTGGGGATGGCTGCACTCGCTAGGCCTACGTCTACTGGAGCGGGCTCTGCTGCACGTGCCTTTGCGATCGACGCGTGACTGCGACGGTTGAGGCCACTGGGAACATGTGGCGTGACGAGTGCACTGGCGGAGGCGACGAGAGACACAAAGACGACTGGTGGGAAGTACATTGTGTTGGTAAAGATGAAGGCTAAGTCAACGTTGTTCTTGAAAGAAAGTGGACTCGAAAACGGCGGCAAAAGTAAAAGGACCGACTGAGAATATAAAGGATGACGCTACAATGGAGTAGACGCGGAAGGAAAGGAAAGCCAAGGCCGTTTGCGGTGAGCTGGTGGAACTGGTGGAACGAACTTGGACCGCATTCAGAAGGCTGGTCGTATATAAACATTTCGTGACGAGCTCTCGTTAATGCGCGGAGTTCAAAGTCCAAAAAGAACAACGGCGGCCCATTGTCCGCAGTTTAAGCGCCTAATCAATATCCCATCATCTAACCTCATTGTCTCTTAACAGCTAATAACAGCGACACATGCAGGTAACCTTTAATGTAATTGTAATCCAAAGGCACAGCTGCATGCCTTGCATTATCCTCACACTCATATGTCGAAATGTCGTTGCCTTAGAAACTCTGACTGTTCCTCAACCTGTTTCTCATCCTGTCATTCTAATATTAAACATCACTCCATCCAATACCCTACACACGCGTAGCAAACGTTTTTACCAACTGACTACTCGCAAGACCCTCCAGCGTCTTCGCATGCGCGTCAAGCTGTCCCAGTAGCAGCATACTGTCCAATCGACTCGGCTCAGGAGGAATTTTGAACAGGCGGGACACATCATCCTCTGGCAAGGGCGCAAGCCCAGCTGCCACCCGCGTCGCATTCTCTTCCCGCCGTTTTTGCACGTATGCATCCGCCCGCGCCTTTTCTCGCGCAATCTGTCGGGTCAGATATCCTAGGTTATTTTCTTCATTTTTGTAATCGTCTAGCCCTTCGACAATACGCTCCAAATTTTGTGTAGTGTAACTAGGCGATTCCAGGTCCAGCGTAGCGAATGATGGAGGCAATGACGACTGGGGAACAGACAAGGTAGGAATGATTGATCCAGCAGGATCAACGGCGAATTCCGAGGAAGGCTCGGAGAGTGTACCAAGGAGGGCGTTCAAGAGCGCATTTGTCCGAACAACCACCGGGATTTCTTCCAAAATTGAAGAAAACGTCAATTTATGTTCGACGAGGCTAAAGATATAACCGGCGCAGACAACAGCCCAAAGTAAAAAGTTTTTTTTTAAGCGCCAAGTGGGACCAAGATATCTTTGTACATACCTTCGTGTGTTGAACGGACCCCGCTTGTGAGCGTCCAAATATGTCCGAGTGAGCCGAAAAGCCCGAAAGGCCGCATTCCCACGCGCGGTCTGTGAAATATCTGTGAGATGAGAGAGGTACTTTATGTCAGTACCCGATTTGACTTTGACATGACCCAAGCAAGAATATTGGGCATGTGCTAGAGAGAAAGGTGATTTAATCACCATGAACGACCACGACACCTCCTCTTCGGAGCTTGTCACGTTGCGTGGCTAGTGTTTCGACCAGGGTTTGAGAGAAGAACGCCCCGAGGCTAGTCGACTGGTAGAAACCAACGATGCTATCATCTGACTGGACTTCTTTGAGCGAACGCAGCATTGCAGACTGATACCGTGCTGCACGAGATAACAGAAGCAAAACCGCCGCAGTGCAACACACCTCCAAATCAGCAAAGCCGCATCACAAGCAGCAAGAAAAAAGCGAAAAAAACTGACCAGCAGCCTTCCCCGCCCTGTCTTCATCGTCCGTGGAGTACGGCATCGCGAAACAATTCGAGATCTCCAGGGTCCCGTCCAAATCGAGCCCTAGCAGCAGCCCATACGCAGGAAACGACGTAGAGTCGCGGCCGTGTTTTGTGATTTTGCTGACGACCTGCACGAGTATAAGCAATAGAACGCCTCCCAGCGCCCATAACTAATAATAACATACCAACCCATCCAACTGCACAGTCGTCACAGGGATCTCCCCTTCAGTATCAATAATCTTCGCCATCGACGGTGGGATATTTTCATAGGACGGTGGGGGGGGTGCTGGGGCAGATTGAGGCGCAGGAAGCGACGCTGCCAACGTGGCAGCCATAGTACTCGCCATTATCTCTGGCTATTTTCCAAAGTATACAGTGAGATGCACGGAGACGGTAAACTTGATCTTAGAGGATGAAAACGCCTAAGAATTGTCGTCGGCGCCTGTTCACAAAGGAAATTTGCACTGTACTATTTCAAAAAAAGGGGTATGAAATGAACGAATGGCAAGGCCGCGTTGGCCTAATGGTAGGGCGTCGCTTTCCTATCTGATCATGATTAGCTAATCATGAGGCGAAGCTTGCGGGTTCGAGTCCCGTACGCGGTAGTTGTTTTTTTCATTTTTGGTATTTGAAATTATAATAATTTATAATCATTCTTGCCTATCAAATTTCCGAATTAAGCCCAACCAACCTCAATCCTGTCATCATCATGAGCCAGGAGTCGGTCAATCTGGCACTTTAAAACATCCATCTGATGAACTTTCATTATACTCTTGACCTGGCTCATCATTCTCATGGGCTTTGAAGTCGAACACGCAAGCCCGATCCTACATTTTTCATTTATTTGGTACCACGGAAGTCAGATCTAACCCTGGAATTGCAGTGAGTGATAGAAACCAACTGCCATCAATGTACTTGTCGGAAGTTCCCCGAAGCCAGAGGCTGATGGTTATCATGAAGGTTGGTCACGGCGGCCCACCCTTGGTATCTCCACCCACTCAACGAATGGTTCATGGCGTTCTACGACACTAATGGGGATATTTTTGACAAACTGTTCTCTGGAGGTGGACATCATGTCTCCTAGGCGGCAAAAATATCCCACTATACCTGCAATATGAAGACGACATATATTCTCTCTCCTGACGTGCAGTGGCATCTTGAAGTATGATAATGGCTACTCAAGTAACACAAAGAGCCATATAAAGTGTATAACACTACAAACTGAACCAATGCAGACAACAATCATATCGTCAGGTGTCTTCTCTCATTCCAAATGAGGGGTGTGTTAAGGGGTGTGTGTGATGGAACGGGAAACACGGTGAGATAAACCGTCGTCACGAACGACCAAAGAGTTGGTTGAGCTTATCATGAACGTTGGCCATGACAGCTTAACCCTTAGAATCACTATCTCAACAAAAGAATGGTCAATGAAATTCTACAACAGTGCTGAGGATGGGAATTGTGGAAGTGGGCATGCAAATTGCCCACTTAAATACAGGCACTCGCAATATGAAGAAGACGCCGTATATTCTCGCTCCTGGCTTGAAAGACAGCAATGATTATTCAAATGAACGTAATGAGTTATCAAGTTTACAATACTACAAACTGAATAATACAATATTGCCAAAATGGCGCTTCCAAAGCAAGGCGTATTAGAAATTATCAAGAAGCGTGATGGAACGAAAAACAAGGGGTAAACTGTACCTACAAACGCCCAAAATTGAGGAAGCTTCGTGACGAGATATATGCTCCAAGTTGTAAACAACCACACGATCATCGATTATTCGCCCGTAAAATATGATATCACGCCCGGTACTTAATGCAACCCCAACATCTCCATCATATAAAAGTTGTCGCCGCCGTCGTCGGAACTCATATCGCTCACCCCTCCATATCCGAGCCCCCATCCATCGTCGTCCTCAGGCTCGCTTTGATAATGCACGTTCCAACGGGGCGATCCCTGCATATCATGACTAGGAAATTTTTAAAACACCGTCAGTTTCCTCGAATCAATGTCAAGATGGCCATTCCCCACGCCCACTCACGTGTGCTCCATATCCCCATCAATCCCTGTACTATTACTGGCCTTCTTTGGCCAGTACCGTCTGACTAGCGGGTCAATGTACCATTCATGTTGTGATATGAAGTGGCTGATCTAGGCGATCTAACGCATCAGTTATGCCTTAACAAGACATTGAATATATTATGCTCACAAGTTCTGAGAAGGTCATAGGGCAGGGGCCCCCCGATTGGTCACAACATATACACATATAGATAGTTTCATCTGCACACTCATCCGGCAAATCCTCTTTCAGAGAAGGATTCGAGATGAAGATGGCTTCGGCAATTGCAGTCCTCTGTGGGCTAAAGGTAAAGTCCAAAGGCCAAGTTGGTTGGTCGAACCCAATATGACTGTGACGAAGTATCCACTTAAATGGCATGACTCGGTCACACGGGGTGCAGTGAAATAGTGTCGTAGGGAGGGAAAGGTAGTCATCTTCGATATCAAGAGGTGAATTTTTTGTTGACTTTTGGGCATCGTCTTCGCCAGCTTTAGAGGCATCTGGGTCGCGAGCGGACGCAACAAGTTGCTTCGCTTGAATACAGACACGATCGTAACAATCTCTTGTTTCCTTCTCGAATTGATCTTTAGCAGCGACCCATACTTCTCCGGTTATTTCTTTCCGGTAGTCATCTACTCCGAGGAGACTTTCGGCAGCAGGGAATGTCAATAGCTTGTCTTCCGAGAAGGAAAGCGGGACCCCGTAATCTTCCCGGGTTTTCAGGAAATCCTTTAGGTATGAACGAAGCTCATCCGTCCGCTTCGTTTTACGGTGTCGACGTGCCAAGCTTTCTCGCTGGGCTTTTAGTGTCGCAATAGAGGCTTCTAGTTTGGGGCGAATAGTAGCCCAAACTTCGTTTACGAAATCAGTTAAATTGGTAGAATAAAAATATATCAAGACTAACTGCGCGGGGTGAGAGCTCGAGGTTGAAAAACTAGACTACTCCACGCTGCATCCCATTCGTAAGGGAAGTCTACTTCCTCATGTCCCAGTTCAATTAATCTGGTATATATCCTAGGATGAAAGTGAGTATGAGAAACTACGTAGATAAGTGACACGAACGCCTTTTTACGTGTGATGGACACCGTCGTATCTATATCATGTTTGGATGAAGCCTCCAAACGAATCCAGTACCCAAGCTCATTTGCATTCTACAATAAAATAAAAACCAAATGAAAGACAAGGCACTGTTGTCAGATCGTACCTTGTGAATGTCCGGGAGCAATCCCTTGTGATATTCGTAGAATTCGTCCCTTGCGACCTTTGCGAGAACAGGTGGCATGTCAGCTGGCACGAGGGCACTGAATTTGGCAACCATGCGTTCAACACGGCTGCGGCAGAAAAATTCAAGTTTACGCCGGCGATTTCCCCCTAATCGAGCATGAGCTATGGCGATTCTAGTGTGAACAATATCTTTTTCAGTAAAAAGAAAGATACGAACAAAATCGGCAAGGAATGCATTCTAACAACTGGTTGGTAAGACCAGGAATTTCATCCAGAAGTTGAGACCCTTTAACAATCCTAAACCGTAAAATCAGAGCTGAATTAGATACGCAGTGATAAGGGTAGCGAACTCGTCTGGACGACAACGATGGCATATTCTGGTCCTCATAGCCCATTCCACCTTCATTACTCGAGGTGCAAGGCAGACCTATAAAGACTTGTTGGTATATCGCCTTAGACACATTATTTTACTGACGTGACAATCCTTCTCAAAAATGAGTCTGGCATATTCTGGCTCGCTAAGATCTGGTGGGCAGTCAGGAAGGGTAGGATAAGACTGTCGAGCTGAACGCCAAATGGGCTTCGATTCTCGGGACATTAAGATCGCATTGAGGCCCTTCGTAGATCTCGCCAGGTGTAACAGATCAATTGGTTCCAGATGGTTACTTATCTGTCAACTCACTAAGTGGCGCAGCATCTAAAAAAGGCAGAGACCACACACCTCGCAGAAAATATCGACAGGCATTTCAAGCAACTTTGACAGTTTTCCAACATTCCTACCACGGTAGCCATTCGGATTGCTACTTTGTCTAGCTTCCTTCCTCTTTGAGGTGCGGCGTCGTTTTAGAGATCGGGCAAGTTCTTCTGAGTCCTCATCAGGCTCCTTGTCGTCGCCATCAGGTCTGTTGACAACATTTTGGACATCCATTGTCTTTGAGAAGAGGCAACGTTTGAATAGCCAACCCGGAAGTGAAACAGTTTCGAGTGGCTGGAGCAAGTCAGGTGAAGACGCCGACCCGCCGACCCCCCGGGTCTCTTTGCATTCTCTTCCTGTTTCCCTCGTCGTAGTGTTTGCATCCACCGATTACTTTTTTCATCAATAAAATCCTGGGGAAGTACAGGAGGTTAAAAATATTTAATATGACTTCTCCATTAGTAAATGGACAGCAAAGACATCGATTATCACTCGGCAGGCGCGACTGAGTCTTGTAAAGAATTCGGTTCCCTCTGAGTCCAGTCCGGGATATTTTATCAAGTACACCATATATACATTACCCCCGCAGCTTCCTGGAGTTTCCATCTCATCTGGGAAGTCCACTAATTTTTCATAATTTGGAAAGGACAAGCCCACGATTGACAGTTGTTTCATTTCTATTTCACTAAAGTGTCAATAGTGGAGTGTACGACAATACTAAGCAAACTATATAGCAAGATGGAACCTATTTTGCGATAATGCTAAACGCTTAGCAACAATTAAGCCTGTTGTTTTAGGACACTCCCCAGGACATAGCTTGCGCTTCTAGTCTGAAAGATTGAATCGTACTTGCATAATTCACAACGTCTAGTAAGATAAGATCTAGATTTAACAAAATGCACCTGATGATTATCATAATATACGTAATAAACCCCACATCTGTCACAAAAGTCTCGGTGCCTGTGTCAATTATAGCAGCAACCAATCAGAAGTAGGTGCGACGAGTCGATGTGTTTTCGGTTACGATCGGGGTTTAAAAAGGTAAAATGAATAATGTCTCCATTCGGTCCCTGAGATGCCGTCATAACAATTTGCTCCTCTGCAGAAAGCATCACTTTTACTTTTCACGCAACCACAGATCCGTTTTGGTGATCCAGGGTGCATTCTCTTTCTACAGTTCATTAGAGTTCAAGAAAATTGTCCGCAGTAGCTTGTGTGCATTATTTTAATAGTTAATAGCAAATTATTTCGAAAGGTACTAAAAAGTGGCATTATTTCCAGGCCATATTCCCCCCCTCAGTTTATCATATGCCAAGTTAGTGGGGGTTGTCTCGATATGATGTTCCTTATTTAAAATAATCGCAATTCTCTGGTAACTTAAGTCCGAAAGTAATATTATAGTTCAAAGTACCGCTAGCTCTATTAACTCAGTCTATAGCAGCCAGTGCTTTAATTTGTAAGTTCACTTCTGAACAATTACTCATAAAATTTATTCGTTTATTGTTTAACACTCATTATTACAAAAATAACTATGACACAAAAATCCGACTGATCTCATAACCTCAGTGTGGCACAAAAAAACCTTTCTTCTTTGAAATTACGACACATGCCCAATTTATTTGCC